GGTGCCAAACTTTGATCAAGATCTGAAGCTAATAGAAAATCTGTTAAGTTCAAAGTTATCAAATCAAAAACAATACATAAAAAGCAAAACATTTCATCCACATTTTAAAAAGAAAATTGTTCTAAAATGTATGTATTCTGTATTTGACAAACAGTTCATTCAACAAATGAAAACTCACAGGAATATGTTTCAGCTATTAGAACAGAATGATGTAGTTTTTATAATACTGGTTTAAAAACGCACTTCAAAGATTGCAGTGTTTGAAGATGTAGATTCTCAGGAGGCAACAGTACTGTTGACTTCTCCCTCCACTGGACACCAACTAACTATTCACTATGAATCTATTCACGTCTAAATGCAGCCCCCCCTTTTTTTTTGAGATGGGGCATTTGTTTTTATACTAAAATATCAGAATTATTTTGAATAAAGCTGGAAATTATGTCCCTTAAAATAATTAAACAAATAAGGCACCAATGTTTTTGTAAGATATTTACATCTTCAAAGGACATTCGGTAGACTGATTCCCCACTATTGGTTCAACCCCAAAACTTGTTTGTATTCAAAATTAATTATGACAATGCATATTTATATTGAAACAAACTAGGATAAAGGGAATTATATTATATAACAAAGGGAAAGGTCACCAGAGTTCAACTATGTTTGTTAAATCAAAGATGGGCGACTATCAGCCATCTTTTTTTTTTTTGTTGAAAATGTGGTTACAAATCATTACATTTCAATGAAACTTTGTAGGTAGATGTCAAAGGACAATGCACAGACCTGATGGGTTTTAGGGTAATACCATGCATATTAATTACCTGATTTGCATAATTGACCAATTTTCATCTTTTTCACTGATATCTCAAGCACTAATCATAACATTTCAATCAACTTGGTACATAGATGGTCTGACATCTCACAGACCTTATCAGTTCTACATTAACATCTGTGCATATAAATTACCTGATTTGCATAATAATTGGTCAGTTTTCAGCTTTTCCATCAATATCTCAAGTACTTGCCTTATTTCAAGAAATTTTGGTATATAAATGTGAAGATCTAATTATTTTTAAGTTTATATACATCTATAATAATTTACTTTTCAACTTTCCACCAATTCTTTTAGAAATAATCATCACATTATAATAAAACTTGCATGTACGCCCTGGAACAATATACAAACCTAAATCTATGCATAATATTTTCTTAATTTGCATAACAATTCATTTGGTTCATTGGGGTAATCCACAGACATGATTAGTTTTAATGTTGAAAAACATACATATTTATTATCTAATTATTATTAGCCCATTTCTGATATCTCAAAAAATCAGATTTAAATTGAATTTGTGGTAGAGGTATTCTGGAATTAATTTGACTGAAAACCACAGATGTAAAATCAAATATATTTTCTGTATTATAAATTTTGATAATGTGGATCACAGATTATGTAATAAATCTGATTTTGTTGAAACTAGATTAGTATAATATTCTTTCTCAGATACTGAGCATACACTACAGTCAGAAACAATTTACCTGGTCATATGTGACTGCATATATTATGCATGTAGCAATACATGTCCATAACAATTAAAGTTGTTATCAGAGGAAGGTAACAGACTTGGACCCATCTTGCTTTTTGCCCATATAACTTGATCATAGGCATAAATAACATTTCCATTGCAACAGGTACTGCGTCATTAACAATGAGTTGTTTATTTACCGATACTAATAATTTGTATGTTACAAGTACATATTTATATTTTTATTTATATTTATATTTTTTTCCCCTATGTGTGTTGTACTTTTATGTTTAAAAATGTTTAAAGCACAGCCATAGCATGTCGTTGTTAACAAACAAACATCTGGCCAAGAGCCTTTGCGTTTTCTAAGCATGCATTGTTATCGCTTGGGACTCAATTCCCAAGCATGTGCAGATGACGTTCCCTCGGCTATAAATTAATTTGCTACTTTTCACATATATTTTATTGTTAAAAGGCATGTTTAAGTGATCTTACTAAATTATTAGATGTGCATACATTTGTCGGCTGTCATTGCATGCGTAAATAAATATGAACATGCTGTGATGTATAAGGAAATAAAATAAATATCTGCCCTTCTCTGAATGCATCAAACTTACCAAAAGACTATAAAAATTGCAATTGATGAGTTACTAATTTTCTGGTGTCTATTTTGCAACATACATTTGTAAATAAGAGTTGATTTTAATGCTAACCAGTGTCGGCTTTGTAATGGTTATTGTATCTATCTTTCATTAGTCTCAAGCACTGAATGCTGGCTCCCACTTTTTTCGTTGTCCTATATGCAACAACCAAGAAAAGTTCAAGAATGAGATGTTACAATTTGGTATCTTTATTCCTGAGCAGTGAGTATAACACAGAAGTATTGACAGTCTTTCGTTCAACAGGGCTGTTGACAGTCTGACGTAGCACAGAACTGTTCACTTTGCTCTGTCATGAGAGTTACTTTTGCTAAAGTTAACCATGGAATCCTGTGCCATAAACTCAGAAAATAAATAAAGGTGGGAAAATTGGAGCATGGCTAGACAATATCCTAAGAAATCGTACACAGTCTTCAATAAAATGCCAACAAAGAATTACAAAATAATAAACTACAATGAAATGGCCAACTTTAGCAAAAGCAAAGTCTAAATAGATTACATTTACATTGTGATTGGCTTCAATTTCATCAAGTGTCCTATATTAATGTTGTAGGAGCTGGGATAGACAAGATTTTCTAAAGCAGAAACCATGTTGTTTTGTATTCATCCAAATATATATCTTTCTAGAAAAGGTGTATACAACCTATCATCTCAGCAATCTTCTGTGATCAGTTGCAACAGGGTACAGTAGTTGGACCTCTTTTGTTATTGATCTTAAGTGCACATGTTTAAATGTTACAAGCTATGTGTCTCATCATCTGACGATAATACACATGTTATGAAACCAATTGAAAATAGTTCTGAATTGCAGGTAGACCTGCAGATAATTAAAAAAATTGCAGGAAATAAATAACATTACAACTGTCGTAAAATTTGCATTAAAAGTTGCATCCCCAATAGAAATCACACCTTCTTTTTGAACAATTGAGAACAAACTAATCAACATTTCTCATATGTATAAATGCTTTAATAGAAGCTGTATCCCCTCTGTTACATAGAAACCATGGCTTCTAATACAGATTTCACATTACATATTAATTATGCTCAAAAATTGAAATTGTATCAAAAGTCTCTTGCAAAATTGTGTCAAGAGTCTCTTGCAAAATTGTATCAAGACGTCTCTTGCAAAATTGTATCAAGACGTCTCTTGCCAAATAGTATCAAGAGTCTCTTGCAAAATTGTATCAAGACGTCTCTTGCAAAATTGTATCAAGACGTCTCTTGCAAAACTGTATCAAGACGTCTCTTGCAAAACTGTATCAAGACGTCTCTTGCAAAACTGTATCAAGACGTCTCTTGCCAAATAGTATCAAGACGTCTCTTGCAAAATTGGACTGCAGTGCAAAATAAACAATATATCACACTTGTGCATTATATATTTGGTTTGTAATCCAAGTGAAAATGAATGTTAAATTCTGATTCAAAATGATTGACTCAATTTCAGTTCTGACAGGGACTGTGTCATCTTAAAGCACGGCTACACAATATCAGGAATTGTACTAGTGTGTCATGGAAACTTAGTCTGAAACAGGGACTCATGTTTTGGGTTCCGTCCATGTGTCCAGGCATCCGTCTTTGACCGACCGACCAACCGACTGGCAGTTTTGTCCTAAAAAAACACCAAAAATCAACATTTGGACATGTCATCAACCATTTCTTGGACATGCTTTGATCGATTTCATTCAAACTTGACATTGTCCTCATGGGTTACTGATTACATCATTTTTTGTGTGTGATTCAATTCAAAATAGCCGACTAGTGGCCATTTATTTTTTATGAATGTGCATGTTGATGGTTGATCAAGCATCATGTTCTATGAATCGTAATTAACCAATCAATGAAAGTAATGATGGCACCGCAGTGTGCATGATCAGTGAAAGTAATGCTGACTTGATGGCACCAGTATGCATGATCAGTGAAAGTGATGTGAACTTGATGGCACCAGTGTGCATATACAGTGAAAGTAATGTTGACTTGATGGCACCAGTGTGCATGATCAGTGAAAGTGATGTGAACTTGATGGCACCAGTCTGCATAATCAGTGAAAGTAATGTTGACTTGATGGCACCAGTGTGCATAATCAGTGAAAGTAATGTGAACTTGATGGCACCAGTCTGCATAATCAGTGAAAGTAATGTTGACTTGATGGCACCAGTGTGCATAATCAGTGAAAGTGATGTGAACTTGATGGCACCAGTGTGCATATACAGTGAAAGTAATGTTGACTTGATGGCACCAGTGTGCATGATCAGTGAAAGTGATGTGAACTTGATGGCACCAGTCTGCATAATCAGTGAAAGTAATGTTGACTTGATGGCACCAGTGTGCATAATCAGTGAAAGTGATGTGAACTTGATGGCACCAGTCTGCATAATCAGTGAAAGTAATGTTGACTTGATGGCACCAGTGTGCATAATCAGTGAAAGTGATGTGAACTTGATGGCACCAGTGTGCATATACAGTGAAAGTAATGTTGACTTGATGGCCCCAGCCCAGTCTGCATAATCAGTGAAAGTAATGTTGACTTGATGGCACCAGTCTGCATGATACAGTGAAAGTGATGTGAACTTGATGGCACGAGTGTGCATGATCAGTGAA